ACATCAAGTATGGTCTATTGGTTCGTTCGCTAACCCATTTTGCTGATGATGATCGAAACAATGGTGGATTTAGAATCTTAGTACAAGGTACACAAATTTTCAAGAATCTCATTACGAATTTCACCATTATCGTTACTAGGATTGGGGGTAGTGCTGCAGATGATGCGTCTTTAAACGCTTTAGCTATGTCCTGCAGTCTTATCTGCTTAGGAACTAACTCACAATCTGGTGATAATGGTCTAACCATATACACACAGAGTTTGTGAATGGAGGGAACATTAAAATTATACAAGTGAAGAGCAACTCTTTCCCACAGTTCGCAGATTTTTTTTTTTTTTTATTGCCAGTATCTCCAAACCTGGTCTTGTTCCATAGTGGTGACCCGCCTTGTCTCAATTCTAGGGTGTACCTTGAACCTAAGTCTAGCCAGGAACGATCTACACTAGCAAGTACCCACATCATCATGGGACCGCAACTGCTGATCATTCAATCAGCATTCCCCGCCCTCACGGGGCACGCAGGATTAGTAAGTAGCCTTGTCTGCATCTGGTTCCTTTTCGAAACGGGTTTCGTCGAATGGCAGCTTTACTGCAGTGGTAAGAAGTGATTGAACAGAAGCTATTGGTAGACTTGGATGATAGTCCATTGACATTCTTTAGTGTCAGTCCCAGACATACGATAGTAGCATATTCGGAATAAACAATATGAGATGAAGTACAGATGGTGTTAAACTCATATACCAAGGGTGAGACGTGGTCACTCAGAATAGGTAAGAGTTCACCTTCTTGGAGTACCTACGTTCACCTCTTCGCTTAAAGTCTCCATCCTGTACTTCATCTAATTCTTGGTCATTCCATGAACAATGGTCTCATGGGGACTACCACCGTACAATAAACTTTAGGGTGAATGGCTGATTACATCGTCTTCTAAGTATCTTTGCTTCTATCAACTTTTCTGTACTCGCTTGAAGAACCTACTGTGTAACGCAAAGTTTGAAAAACAAATACCTAAACTGTTAGCATAGGACATACCTAACAACCTGTCGTGATTTTTATCCATTAATGTCAGGTATCAGCTATAAAGAAACTGCACTTACAAACGTTAAGAACATGTGAAAGTTACTCGAGAAATAACTTCTTACAATGCACTTATAACTGTCAACTAGGATGGGATCACCATCTGGAACATTAGGAACAACAACAGACACTCTAGTGAGAACACTAGCCGTAACAGAGACGTCTTTCTGCATACGGCATGTGACATCAACAAGAGATGGCATTACTAGTTGCAAGTAATCGTTTTCTGACAAGGCATCCCCTGTGGAGAAACCACTACTCGAACTAGCAGACATTGCAGGGATAGGCTGTGCACTCAAGGCAGTCTGAGTGTCCCCGGACACTTGAGGCAACGGAACACTATCCTGCAAGTCTGAAGGTGTAGGTGGAACACAGATGGGAGTGACAGAGTTACTAGTGCCTGACCGCTCGGCTACGTTAATAAGTAATGAATGAATCTATAGAAACTTAATCTGAACTTCACATTTCGCAGCACTTTAACAAATCTCAGATACAAGCTGTGAGAACAAACACATTGCTCAAGGGCTAGGTATTGTCTTTCAGTCGGTAAGGAAATGTTGGTACTGTGGACTGATTCATATTGACTCTGACTGGCATGATACACTAAGTGAACGTTCAAAAGTGACTGGGACATCTTCTCAGTGAACTTACTGAAGGGCATAAGGCAAAAAAAAGTAGAAAGAATGACACAGTAAGCTTAAACGGGAAGAAAATGCTTAACGATTCTGCATAAGTAATTGAAAATTGACAGGTCACACAGTAAGCAAAGAACTCACACAAGAAAAATACGCAACTGAATGAGCAACACTTTGAAAATCAAGAGAACTTGCACTTTACTCAAACCTAATTTGCTCAACTTTTACTTTAAATTGAATGAATGGCGCAGTGAGTTGTCTTTACTTTCAATGCAATAGGGAAACACACAATAAAATGATAAAATGGACTCAATAAAGCTTGTGCAAAATAAAACAAACTGGGACACAATTCACTGAAATAAAATAAAATGGCACAGAAAGAATAAAATATTATGCACAGAACAGAGCATATGAAACTGAACTGAAATAAACTGTAGCAATATTGCAAATAATTGCTAATCAACAAGTATTGCACAATACTGCATAAAATCTCTGCAAGAAAAATTTTAAAGACAACACAATATTTGCACAAGAATTATTGCAAAATGAGTCAATGTGCAATCATAAAAAATTATTACACACACAAGAAAAGAAATATATCAAGGAATGAACTGATTGAACACTTTAACTCTTAACTACAACTTAAACAACACTTAACAAGCAAAAGAACAATTTACTCTAAAAGAAGAACTTAAAAAAATTGCACTAAGAGTGAACTTGTTCAATGAAACATGAGAAATAATAGGTGCTAAAACACAGAACAAAAAAAGTTTGAACATTTACAGTGGTGCAGAACACAACACATCAATATGAACACAATACTAGGATTTCTTGCTTGCACAAAATAATGGCACTATTGTCTGTGGAAATAAGACAAATTAGACACTGGCTAAATGAAAAGAATATGAACACAAGAATGTTCAACACACAGGGAACAAAACAAAAATACACAAATACTAGGGATGAAAATTATAACAGACAACACTGAGTTGTGATGCAGGACACAACTAAATAAATTAATGAAATACTTCACTGGAATACTGAGAACACAAGGTGATTGTGAAGTGGAAACACAAGTTCTATACTGCTCATATGTTGCACACACAACAAAGGAAAAACACTAAGTACTTACTTCAAGTGTATAAAAAGACACACAACACAACAGACATAAGATAATGCATGAAAATTAACACTGAATTAAGGAGATAAAAAGATTATTGCAAACAAACACTGAGTCTGATCGAGAGTCACTGAATGTCACTAAGAAAATCACTGGAACACAAAAGAAATGTCTCAACACTCGCAAATGTCTCTATGAAAAAAAAGTATTATCGCTGTGACGACTTGGTGAAGAATGAGGTAGATGGTGGAAGGTTGGAGGATTGTTTATGTCGTCTTGCTGCTGTCCTCTGCACACGTGACCGTAGAATTGCACTTAAATCGACGATAGACTTCACACAGGAGGCTTTTAATGGTGGCGTGAAACACACTCTAGCTCTTGACCCCCTATGTGGTCCTTAAAATATGGTGCTATAACCGCTAGTAGTGTACCAAAACACTGGTGGAGGTTGGGTGAGTACCACAACACAGTGAGAATGGTTGGGTTAGTGGGTTAACTGGGCTAAGACTGGGCAATGGTGAGACATACGTGGTGAGTGAGTGGTTGGGCCTATGGGTTGAACGGCGTAAGCCTCACTGAGGACAACCACACTGCCACGAAGATATTCTAAGCTGGCTAGCTTAAAATACACCCACGAAATACCACAACACCACAAGGATGAAAAAGAGCACTCAGAATGGCTTGGAGCTTGAATCACAAGCAATGAAGACTACTCACGTGGCTTACTTGAGTACTGGGGTAAGACACCTGGGTTAGTTGCTAGCTGGCTTATCATAACCCTTCACACAGAATGGCTTGATAACTTCACATGATGAGCACAGCAGGGGTGGAAGCTGGCTTGGCAGGCAAAGGAACTGGATGGAGTAGACTAGGCTGGACTGGACTCCGTTGTTCTGACTCCCCCACCACAGACTGGAAGCTGGCTTATTTTGCAAACTCGGGTCAACCCCTCGGGAGTGATGCAAATAAGCAGATAAACACTAATACAAAGAGACTGACCAGTGAATGGTGTAGAAGCTGGTAGAGCTTGGGCGGGAGAACTGGCTGAGATAGCTGGCTGGCGTTAACCTTCTCAGTAGGCCTATTCACAAGATGGCAGGCTCGGTCGAAATTTATCTCCAGAAATCGCTGTAATCGTCAGAATTACAGGCCCTTCGTTGCCACCATTTATCGTAGGGGTTCTTAAATGGAGATATCGATGGTTGAAGGTAGACACACTTGTTAGATGGTAACGATATATTGTCAGACTGTGATGATGGGAAATGGAGCCCAGCCTCTGCCTGTTCTAGCCTGTGTCAAACGCCGACTGAGAGGGAGGCAGAGGTACGAACGTACACATGCGCATCCCGTGACGTCACACAAACAGTCACAGGCCTAGGGATCTCCTATCTAAAGCACATAGATGATACTGATATGCTATACAACACAGGGATCAGCAGTACATGACCTACCAATTTCCTATCGAGGTGTTCCATTTCTGGACTATTTTGCTGCAATAGCTACCCACCTTCGCACCCATTGGCAACAACGTTGGTCAACTCTGCTCGGTAACAAACTTCATTCTATTAAACCGAGCATAGGTTACTGGCCGTCTTCTTGTCATCAGTGCCGAGGTTGGGAGACCACTCTCTCCGCCTTCGCATTGGCCACACTCGTCTTACTCATGGGTATCTCATGGAGAGGCACCCTGTTCCTCTCTGTGAGCAGTGTCAAGTTCCAGTATCGATTAGCCACATTCTGTTAGACTGCCCTTTCTATCAATGAGCACGCAAAATTTACCTCCAACGTCGTCTTCGTTCTACTACTCTCTCTTTACCTTCCCTTCTTGCTGATGGACCCTCCTTTAATCCTGACTCTCTCATTGACTTCTTGACAACGACTGATTTACTCCACAAACTCTGATGATACTTTTCGCACTCCCCTCAGCCCTTACTAGTTCAGTCTCTTGCTGCCCTTTACCCTTTCACCATCCACTACCCCGCTGTTATCCGTAACCTATTACTCGTCCATCTCCCTTTTGCCACCTGATGCCCTCGCTTCCTTCCTGCCCTGCAGCGCTGTATAGTCCTTGTGGCGCTTCTTTTTGATTATAATAATAATAATAATCCCCTCATGCTCACTCACTGCCCACTCTTCTCTTTTGCTGACACTCATGTTTACTGCCCACAGACTCAGCGCCACAGCTGAGTTATACACACATCGACCAGACAGTGTCTCCTGGGTCACCTGTCACCCTCAAGTGCTCTGCTGTAGGCGTCCCCGTCCCTATCATTACCTGGACTCACGACAATCAACCTCTCCTCAAAACACACAGGTAAGTCACCAGGTCACAATTAGCAATGTTTTTCTCCCACTAGTAGGTCACTAGGTCATTAGCTGCTGCGTGTCTCCCCCCTGGTAGGTCACCAGGTCACTAGCTGATGCCTGTCTTCCCCCTGGTAGGTCACCAGATCACTAGCTGCTGCGTGTCTTTGCCTGGGAGGTCCCCAGATCACTCGTTGTTGCATATCCCAGAACGGTAGGTCACCAGTCACCACTAGCTGCTGTGTGCCTTTCCCCTGGTAGGTCACTACACGTTGGTTGCTGTTATGTACTCTTCCTAGCACTACTCTTCTCTTTCTACCTGATAGATAATAATGACATCATAGCAATATCTTTTCTACCAAATAGACTACAAGGACGACACCGTCAACATTATTTCTGAAAGGCAGATCACGAGAACATCTCCAGCAACATCTTTATGTGCCCAAGTTCGATAACCAATTCAGTGTTCAACCAGAATATCGTATTCACGAATATTTTCTCAGTAAATATCGTAATGAATTCTTAATAAAAAATAACTTTTCATTTAGTTTCTTTCCAGTAACTGTTTTCCAGTTTCTGGACAACACTGGTCTGGTCATCTGAAGGAGAAAATTCTATACATCTTCCCTCCATCTTTTTACAACTCTCTTGTGAGCTCTCCTACCAGTGTTTGAGAAATATCTTCCCTGCAGGACTAGAGTAGGGAGCTTCAGGACGGAGCTTGGGGAGGTGGTAAGCCAAGTGAATCTAAGCTCAGTTACGGTGCGCGATGGTGGGTCATACGCATGCACAGCTCACAACACTGCCGGCTCCGTCTCCCACACCGCCAGGCTCAATGTATATGGTAAGAAGCTTCTTATAATTTCTGACACTACTGTAATTTATTAGAGTTGAACTATTTGCATAAATATCTTGTTTGTCAGTTTGATCCCTCGTAAAAAACTTCAAAATATGTATTTTAATAATAATCGTAATTAATATTAATATCTGAAGAACAAAATATGCAATAAACAATATCTTTTCTGAGATAAGATGCCGAAGAGATGCTGCAAAAGGTTGTTGGACGAATTTTGGGAAATTAGAAGCAAGTATAAGAAAGAGCAAGGAGATGAGAGGTACAAAAACAAATTAGGCAATGAAAGATTGGATAACAGACTGGAGGGAGAGAGTATGGAGTCAGCAACTGGGTCTTTGAAAGACGAGGTGAACTAAAGAATTACTGAGGGAATGACGGTAAGTGATGCACTCAGGAATCAGTGGAGACAAAGAACGTTATCCATGGAGGTAAAAAGGGGGTAATGTATGAGAATATAGAGGTAACATTCTTATATGGGTGTAAAGCATGAGTTACGAAATTTGCAGCAAAGAGGAGGTAGGAGGTAGTGGAGATGTGTGTGGCGTGAGTAATATGCAGAGTTGTTTATTAAGACATAATCTGGGTTCACAGATTATATGGCTCTAAGGGAGGTACGAATAGATATATGTACGTATATATGTAGAGAGAGAGAGACAGAGAGAGAAGTACAAACAAAGCACTTCATGATTTAACTTCTTTAAGTAATTATTTTAAATTAACTTAAATAATAAGAATATTCTGGGTTCATAATTATAAGATATTACTTGACTGTAAGATGCACCTGGCTCTAGCACTGTAAGGTGCACCTGGCTCTAGCACTGTAAGGTGCACCTGGCTCTAGCACTGTAAGGTGCACCTGGCTCTAGCACTGTAAGGTGCATCTGGCTCTAGCACTGTAAGGTGCACCTGGCTCTAGCACTGTAAGGTGCACCTGGCTCTAGCACTGTAAGGTGCATCTGGCTCTAGCACTGTAAGGTGCACCTGGCTCTAGCACTGTAAGGTGCACCTGGCTCTAGCACTGTAAGGTGCACCTGGCTCTAGCACTGTAAGGTGCGCCTGGCTCTAGCACTGTAAGGTGCATCTGGCTCTAGCACTGTAAGGTGCACCTGCTCTAGCACTGCAAGGTGCACCTGGCTCTAGCACTGTAAGGTGCACCTGGCTCTAGCACTGTAAGGTGCACCTGGCTCTAGCACTGTAAGGTGCACCTGACTCTAGCACTGTAAGGTGCACCTGACTCTAGCACTGTAAGGTGCACCTGGCTCTAGCACTGTAAGGTGCACCTGGCTCTAGCACTGTAAGGTGCACCTGGCTCTAGCACTGTAAGGTGCACCTGGCTCTAGCACTGTAAGGTGCACTGGCTCTAGCACTGTAAGGTGCACCTGGCTCTAGCACTGTAAGGTGCACCTGGCTCTAGCACTGTAAGGTGCACCTGGCTCTAGCACTGTAAGGTGCACCTGGCTCTAGCACTGTAAGGTGCACCTGGCTCTAGCACTGTAAGGTGCACCTGGCTCTAGCACTGTAAGGTGCATCTGGCTCTAGCACTGTAAGGTGCACCTGGCTCTAGCACTGTAAGGTGCACCTGGCTCTAGCACTGTAAGGTGCACCTGGCTCTAGCACTGTAAGGTGCATCTGGCTCTAGCACTGTAAGGTGCACCTGGCTCTAGCACTGTAAGGTGCATCTGGCTCTAGCACTGTAAGGTGTACCTGGCTCTAGCACTGTAAGGTGCATCTGGCTCTAGCACTGTAAGGTGCACCTGCTCTAGCACTGCAAGGTGCACCTGGCTCTAGCACTGTAAGGTGCACCTTGCTATAGCACTGTAAGATGCACCTGGCTCTAGCACTGTAAGGTGCACCTGGCTCTAGCACTGTAAGATGCACCTGGCTCTAGCACTGTAAGGTGCACCTGGCTCTAGCACTGTAAGATGCACCTGGCTCTAGAACTGTAAGATGCACCTGCCTCTAGCGCTGTAAGATGCACCTGGCTCTAGCGCTGTAAGATGCACCTGGCTCTAGCTCTGTAAGTTGCACCTGGCTCTAGCACTGTAAGTTGCACCTGGCTTTAGCACTGTAAGATGCACCTGACTCTAGCACTGTAAGATGCACCTGGCTCTAGCACTGTAAGATGCACCTGGCTCTAGCGCTGTAAGATGCACCTGGCTCTAGCACTGTAATATGCACCTGGCTCTAGCACTGTAAGATGCACCTGGCTCTAGCACTGTAAGATGCACCTGGCTCTAGCACTGTAAGATGCACCTGGCTCTAGCACTGTAAGATGCACCTGGCTCTAGCACTGTAAGATGCACCTGGCTCTAGCACTGTAAGAAGCACCTGACTCTAGCACTGTAAGATGCACCTGGCTCTAGCACTGTAAGTTGTACCTGGCTTTAGCACTGTAAGATGCACCTGGCTCTAGCACTGTAAGATGCACCTGGCTCTAGCACTGTAAGATGCACCTGGCTCTAGCACTGTAAGATGCACCTGGCTCTAGCACTGTAAGTTGTACCTGGCTTTAGCACTGTAAGATGCACCTGGCTCTAGCACTGTAAGATGCACCTGGCTCTAGCACTGTAAGATGCACCTGGCTCTAGCACTGTAAGATGCACCTGGCTCTAGCACTGTAAGATGCACCTGCCTCTAGCACTGTAAGATGCACCAGGCTCTAGCACTGTAAGATACACCTGACTCTAGCACTGTAAGATGCACCTGGCTCTAGCACTGTGAGATGCACCTGGCTCTAGCACTGTAAGATGCACCTGGCTCTAGCACTGTAAGATGCATCTGGCTCTAGCACTGAAAGATGCACCTGGCTCTAGCACTGTAAGATGCACCTGGCTCTAGCACTGTAAGATGCACCTGACTCTAGCACTGTAAGCTGCACCTGGCTCTAGCATTGTAAGCTGCACCTGGCTTTAGGACTGTAAGTTGCACCTGGCTCTAGCACTGTAAGATGCACCTGGCTCTAGCACTGTAAGTTGCACCTGGCTCTAGCACTGTAAGATGCACCTGGCTCTAGCACTGTAAGATGCACCTGTCTCTAGCACTGTAAGATGCACCTGGCTCTAGCACTGTAAGCTGCACCTGGCTTTAGCACTGTAAGTTGCACCGTGCTGGCTTTAGCACTGTAAGATGCACCTGGCTCTAGCACTGTAAGATGCACCTGGCTCTAGCACTGTAAGTTGCACCTGACTCTAGCACTGTAAGATGCACCTGGCTCTAGCACTGTAAGATGCACCTGGCTCTAGCACTGTAAGATGCACCTGGCTCTAGCACTGTAAGATGCATCTGGCTCTAGCACTGTAAGATGCACCTGGCTCTAGCACTGTAAGATGCACCTGGCTCTAGCACTGTAAGATGCACCTGGCTCTAGCACTGTAAGATGCACCTGGCTCTAGCACTGTAAGATGCACCTGGCTCTAGCACTGTAAGATGCACCTGACTCTAGCACTGTAAGATGCACCTGGCTCTAGCACTGTAAGATGCACCTGGCTCTAGCACTGTAAGATGCACTGGCTCTAGCACTGTAAGATGCACCAGGCTCTAGCACTGTAAGATGCACTTACTCTAGCACTGTAAGATGCACCTGGCTCTAGCACTGTGAGATGCACCTGGCTCTAGCACTGTAAGATGCGCCTGGCTCTAGCACTGTAAGATGCACCTAGCTCTAGCACTGTAAGATGCACCTGGCTCTAGCACTGTAAGATGCACCTGGCTCTAGCACTGTAAGTTGCACCTGACTCTAGCACTGTAAGATGCACCTGGCTCTAGCACTGTAAGATGCACCTGGCTCTAGCACTGTAAGATGCACCTGGCTCTAGCACTGTAAGATGCATCTGGCTCTAGCACTGTAAGATGCACCTGGCTCTAGCACTGTAAGATGCACCTGGCTCTAGCACTGTAAGATGCACCTGGCTCTAGCACTGTAAGATGCACCTGGCTTAGCACTGTAAGATGCACCTGGCTCTAGCACTGTAAGATGCACCTGACTCTAGCACTGTAAGATGCACCTGGC